CCATCCTGTGCCTGGGCCCGGTGGGGAGGCCGGGGAGGGGGCCCCGGGGGGCGCAGGGGACTACGGAAATGGCCTGGAGTCTGAGGAACTGGAGCCTGAGGAGCTGCTGCTGGAGCCAGAGCCTGAGCCTGAAGAGGAGCCGCCCTGGCCCCATGCCCCACTGGGCACCCCAGGCCCTGGGCCTGGCTCAGGAGTCCCCGGCAGCCAGGAGGAGGAGGAGGAGCCGGGACTGGTCGAGGGGGACCCAGGGGATGGCGCCATTGAAGACCCGGAGCTGGAAGAGATTAAAGCTCGAGTCAGGGAGATGGAGGAAGAAGCTGAGAAGCTAAAAGAGCTACGGAACGAGGTAGAGAAGCAGATGAATATGAGTCCACCTCCAGGCAATGCTGGCCGAGTGATCATGTCTATTGAAGAGAAGATGGAGGCTGATGCCCGTTCCATCTATGTTGGCAATGTGGACTATGGTGCAACAGCAGAAGAGCTGGAAGCACACTTTCATGGCTGTGGTTCAGTCAACCGTGTTACCATCCTCTGTGACAAATTTAGTGGCCTTCCCAAAGGGTTTGCATATATAGAGTTCTCAGACAAAGGGTCAGTGAGGACTTCCCTGGCCTTAGATGAATCCCTATTTAGAGGAAGACAAATCAAGGTAATCCCAAAACGAACCAACAGACCAGGGATCAGCACAACAGACCGGGGTTTCCCACGAGCCCGATACCGTGCCCGGACCAGCAACTACAACAGTTCCCGAGCTCGATTCTACAGTGGTTTTAACAGCAGGCCCCGGGGTCGTGTCTACAGGGGCCGGGCTAGAGCGACTTCATGGTATTCCCCTTACTAAAAAAAAGTGTGTATTCTGTTCACATCTCTTTTATCTAGACAATAGAAATACAACACAATAGCAGCTGCTATGCATCTCTTTCTAATTTCCTGTTCAGTGATAGCATATTGATAGTTTGAAATCAACCATGATGGCAATATTTACACCATGGAAATTGGCAAATGCTACAAACCAGCCCTCTTCCCCTTTTTCCAAAGTACCACTAACTAAACATTTACTGGCCTACAACTGTATACAACTGGATTAAAGTTATATATTATTTAAAAGTTATATGTTAAGTTATAATCCTACAGAAGTGTATTTGGGTCTTGCTTTTTAAATATATTTTCATTACAGGTATCTCGTTGTTATTGAGCATTTTAACTTCCATGGCTTTGTGTATCATTGCAAATGTCTTGGCCATTGGTATACGGCAAGTTGCCTGTTACTTTGGCTTATTTTTTCTGTAGGGTTGACTGACTTTAAAAAGAAAAAGGTGGAGGAGAGGAGGGTGAGAAAAAATTTGGAGGTGTAGTAGTAATAAACTTTTTAAAAATATATATATTTTATTGATTTTTTTACAGAGAGGAAGGGAGAGGGATAGAGAGTTAGAAACATCGATGAGAGAGAACCACCGACCAGCTGCCTCCTGCACACCCCCTACTGGGGATGTGCCCGCAACCAAGGTACATGCCCTTGACTGGAATTGAACCT